GTAAGAATGTTTGCACAACTTATCTGTAATCAATGACTGACACTGAATTGTACATGCAGAAATTATAGAATCAATGTTCTGTTGTATATATCGTATACTCGAGTATAAGCCACCCCGAGTATCTGCTGAGGCACCTAACTTTACCACAAAACTGCATAAAAAATGTGCTGAAAAACTCAGCTTATACTCAAGTATTTATTGTAATCTTAAAAATAAAAATAGAGATATTTTTAAAACAGTAATTTTATTGGCAGTAATTTATTTTTTCCCCTTTTATAATGTGACATGCAATTTCATTAGTTAAGAAAGTTAAGTAATACTCAGAAAACAAGGACCTTCTGCATAATATGTCTTTGTGGGGAAAATGGGGAGGAAATGGTTGGCTTAGCCTTAACCCAACAGGGATTTTACTAAACATGTTACTGTGTGATCTGATTCTTTCAACATTTCCCCCATGTCATCTTCATATTTTTACAACAAAGCAGTATTCCAAGGTATGGTACACAATTTGAGTACTTCCCTCTTAAAAACTCATTGTTGTCAAGTCAATTCCAACCGAAATCAACCCTATAAAAGAAAATTGCTACTTCTTTCTCTCAGGGCGCAGCTTGTGGGTTTGAACTGCTGAACTTTCCATTAGCAACAAAGAGCTTAACCAGGCTCTTCACTTTTTTGTTAAGTAATATTTGTAAGCTGTTACTTTTATTGTTTGGGGCTATCAAAAATACTGATACAAGGAATAAACTTATAAATACTTCTATGTATCTTTGTTCGTATACATGAAAACATATGAGGGCTAGACATTAGAAAAAGATATGTCCCCTAAAATGTCATGCCTATTTTGTATTTTAATAAATACTACCTGTCTGCCTTACAAAAACTCAATAAAACTCACTCTCACTGAGTTGATTCCAGCTCACACCAACACTATTTAGGACCAAGTAAAACTAACTTTTATAGAAAGCTTCATCTTCATCTAGAGGAGCAGCTGGTGGTTTCAAACTGCTGACCTTGCAGGGTAGCAGTCCAATACATAAAGCACTATGGAACCACAATTGCAAAGTCAGCAATTGAAACCACCAGCTGATCCATGATAGAAAGAAAATTATTTCTACTCCATTAAAAGTTAGTGTCAAAAACTCTAAGGGCAATTCCATTCTATACTGTAGAGTTGTTGTAACTCTTCATGGGAATAGAAAGCCTCTTCTTTCTCTCAAGGACCAGCTGGTAGTTCCAAATTGCTGCCCTTATAGTTAACAGTCCAACATGTACCCACTACACCATAGAAATAGGCATATTGTGGAATTTTCATTAACATTCAAATAAATAAACAAGTATTTGCTAATGTACTATGGGAACACTTATTGTTTGAATTTGTATTTCACAGAGTACTAATAAAGTGAGGCATCTTTATCATATACAAGGGCAAGTCAAAAAAGATTACTGCTCCCCGCCCTACCCCCAGATGGTGCCAATGTGCCCTGCCCCTACCTCCGCCCTCTGATTAGCCCTGTGAGGACACCACTGGGCTCCGTCCCCAAGCTTAAAGGGCCACGCCCCCAAGAACCACAGCTAATGCTTGTCTCTCATCTCCAAGATGGCGGAGGCAGGTTCAACTTCACCTATCCCGAGGCCTTTGTCCCACTGTCTCTGACTAGCCTTGAGGTCAGAGATCTGGGCTGCCCTGAGAACCTTCGGCTGCAGTTATCAACATCTTGCCACAGCAATCGCACAGCTTCCCGAGACTGATCATCATTACCAAATAGAAGTACCCATAGGGAAGAAAGCAACTAAAGGTGGGCAATACAGCCTATAGGAAGTTTGTATGACCTTGAAAAGTGGAAGGTGAGCTAAGGATATGAGGCCAGTAACAGATAATGAATGAATACTTTAAAATACTTTCTGGTAGGTGTAGTACAACACTGACGAAACATATAACATTCCTCTAATTCTTTAATACTTCCTCCCTCCCTACCCCCCACTATCATGAGCCCAGTTCTACCTTACAAATCCGGCTAGACCAGAGCATGCACACTAGTACAGATAAGAGCTCTCAACACACAGAATCCAAAACAGATTAACCCCTCAGTAACAATAATTGAAGTACCAATACCGTGACGGTAGGGGGAAGGTGGGGAGAGAAAGTGGGAACCAATCACAATGATTGGAGTACAATTCCCCACAACCCGGGGTGACGAACAACAGAAACATGGGTGAAGGGAGACAGGAGAGAGAAGGAAAAAAATGAACTGATACCAAGGGCTCAAGTAGAAAGAAAATGTTTTGAAAAGGATAATGGCAACATATGTACAAATATGCTTGATACATGGATGTTATAAAAGCTTTAAGAGCCCCCAATAAAATGATTTAAAAATTAAAAAAATATATAGTACTGCTATGTATCCAATTCATAAAGGCAAAGTTTACTTCAAATAGGCTGTTTAAATATGTCTCTACAATGGCTGTAAATGTAATATACTTGTCTTAGTCTCTTTAAGGTGCCTTTCCAAAAATAAAGGTCAAATAAAAACAGAAGCTTCCAAGGAGATTTTTCTGAACCTGTTAAATTCAAGGTAGAATGATATTTGACTATTTAGGAGATTTTCTAAAGCATAAACTCGATAGAGTCTCTTGAAGGACACAGGTTGATCATGGGGGCTTAGCATCAAGAAGCTTTAAGAAAATTGCACAGGTGAGAAAAAGGACTGGGAAGTTGTGCTAAGAAAATTTTCTCCATCATGACAATGTACCTGCTCATTCATGGGCAATAAGGACTATCCTATGAAAATAACATTGGGAAAAAGTACCCCAATCACTCTACAGCCCTCATCTTGTACTTTTATATTTTTTATTCCCCAAACTCAAAGAACACTGAAAAAGTTCATAATTTAAGTTCCTCAAGTATGCCCAAACTTCCAATTCTGGTGTGGTATAAACTGAACATTAGAATTCTGTAGGAAATAGAGAGGTCTGAGGGGCTGGCCCCAATCCCAACATGTGGACAGCTGTCCTCCCCCCAGATGAATTTATTACAGAGGACAGCACTGAAGCTGCAGCTCAGGGAGAGGGACATGTCTGATCAGAGCACATGGGAGCAAATGAAGGGGGAGGAAGAGAGAGTGGAGGACATCCTGGCCCACCAAGCATTTAGGACGATATTCCCACTCAGAGCAGCCAATCCACAAAGAAGACCGTATGAGACACGACATCCCTCACTGACCCATATCCCTACAGGGGCCAACACTAGAGACACAGTGTGGGAATTGTGCCCGATCTGATCTCACCACACCGAGGCAAAACACTAAGAGCATGCAACAGAACAAGGGGAACAGAGCAACAAAGTCCCCAGGGAGTACAAAAATAGACTTTGGGGCCAGGGCTTGGCGGCCCATCAGACTTGACCAGAAAACACTCCTAAAGGCCAACAAACAGTCCTTGAACTAACTACAAGCTTTTCTTTTTTGGTTGTTGTTGTGTTGTGTTTTTTGTTTTGTTTTTGTCATTGGCTTTTGTTGTTGTTCTTTTGTTGCTTGGTTTTGCTCTGTCTTGTTTTTGTGCATGTTATTATCTCCGCAGGTCTGTCTAAGTAAGATAGGATGGATGAACAATCTGGAGGAGAAAACAACGGGACAGTTCTGGGGGGACATGGGAGAGGGGAAGGTGGGGGGAAAGGAAATGGTATTAAGAAACCCAGGGACCAGGGAACAACAAGTGATCCAAATCGGTGGTGAGGAGGGTGTAGGAGGCCTGGAATCAAACAACAAAAAATCATATCATTGTGTATTCACCTTCCTGAAACGATCACTGAAGACAAAGCAGGTGCATAAGCAAATGTGGTGAAGAATGCTGATGGAGACCAGCTATCAAAAGATATAGTGTATGGAGTCTTAAAAGCTTGAAGGTAAACAAGAAGCCATCTAGCTCAGAAGCACCAAAGCACACATGGAAGAAGCACACCAGCCTGTGTGATCACGAGGCATCGAAGGGATGAGGTATTAGGTATCAAAGAACAAAAAATCATATCATTATGAATGAGGGGGAGTGCAGAGTGGGGACCCAAAGCCCATCTGTAGGCAACTAGACATGCCCTTACAGAAGGGTCGCGGGGAGGAGATGAACCAGGCAGGGTGAAGTGTAGCAACGATGAAATATAAAACTTTCCTCTAGTTCCTAAATGCTTCCTCCCCACCCACTGTCATGATCCCAATTCTACCTTACACATCTGGCTAGACCAGAGGACGTACACTGGTACAGATAGGTACACAGGGAATCCAGGGCAAATGATCCCTTCAGAACCAGTGGTGAGAATGGCAATACTGGGAGGGTGGAGGGAAGGTGGGGTAGAGAGGGGGAACCGATTATAAGGATCTACATGTGACCTCCTCCCTGGGGGATGGAGAACAGAAAAAAGTGGGTGAAGGGAGATGCCGGACAGTGTAAGATATGACAAAATAATAATTTATAAATTATCAAG